CCGTTGCAGAGACGTTGGAGAGCAGTTAATGCCTTGTTTGACCATCCCAACGGATCTCTACACCTCCTCCACTATATATTGGTGATATCTACTTCATTTTTACTCATTCCAATCATCTCTTCTCCATATATTCATCATAATTCATCATTCTTGCTCCTATTCTTCATTTTTCTCTTTAAAAATTTCTGCAATCTCTCTCCTCTCTTGTGGCAATGGCAGGCGGTCAAAGAAAGCGTTCCCGCACCGGCAAGAACGTTGCTTCTTCTTCGGCTCCTCCACCATCAACGCACAAATACCTTGACGGGTCGTTTCTTTGGTTCAACGACCGCGAAGAGGCTACAAGGTTCTCGGAGAAGTTTGAGCTTTGGGAAATTCTCCCTCCCCGATTCTCCACCGCCCGCTTCATTCATGACTCCATCCCACGTGAGGCACGGGTTATCCTTGAACAAGGAAACTTCCTCGATCTCCTCTACATCAAGAAGGTCAATTATCAACCTTTTCTTGTTCGAGCTTTCTATTCGAACTTGAAAAAGGATTAGGACGGATCGTTGATTTCAAACGTCAACGGGGTGGACATTTATTTGAATGAAGAGAACATTCAAATCCTCACCGGGCTTCGTCGGGACGGACAGGATCTCGGGCTCTACACCAGAGAAGAGGGGGCGCGGTTCAATGAGACCGCTCTCTTGGAGGAAGTGGGCATCCGTCACTTCATACCCACTCCCCAACAGCGGCGCCCTACGATTTCTTCCATGAGTCCCGTGTATCGTTTCATCTTCTATGTGTTGACACGGATCCTCAAGCCTAGGAAGTTCAACCACACCAATCTCTCCCAAGAAGACACGAAGACGATCCATGCGATGATTCACAACGCCAATCTCAATTGGTGTAAATTTGTGATGACTCACATGTTCACGGCCACCTCCGACAATCGGCCGCTCCCCTACGCCCTCCTTGTCATGGCAATTCTTGAAGAATACAACATCAAAACCGATGTTGGGCCAAAGATAAAGGGGACAAAGCAT